AATGTTGTGGGATTCTCGAGCAGATATGGGCACGGAGGCAGTTCAGCAGGAAGCAACATTTCTTGTGCTGACACAGACCCAGTGGACTTGTGTCCAAAGGCTGAGCCCCAAGAACAAGGGGGACTTGCTTTATATACCCTTGGAAGCAGATTACAGAAGTATATGGTAGATACTATTGAAGCAACTATACTACCATCCAATTACCTATTTCTATGAAAGAAATAAACAAGAAAACACTTTCATTAAGAATGTATGAAGCTGTGTGAATCATCCATCCTGCTTGCCCTTCTCTGTGAGATATTGTGCATATTAGCCATCATCTTGTTACATATTTTATTCTGAAAGCCTTCTAATTTTTTAAAATGTCATTCTGCTTGTTGGTGAGAGTGAAAATTGGCACAACTGCTTTGAAAGTTTTGGGCTCTGTTTATAAGGACAAAGCATACATATACTCAATTTTACCCCTAGATATGGATCTATGAAAAATAAGTTTGTAGGTCTACCAAGTGACATGTCCAAGAATGTTAGCAGTGGCTTTAACCATAGCAGAGAAAACTAAAAACAACACGAGTGACTTCCCTCAGGAAGACAGGTAAATAATGTAATTTATACAATGGAATACTATACAGCAACAAAGAACAAACAACTGTTAAGTACAATAACATGGATAATTTCACAGATACTGTGTAGAGTAAAATGTCAGACATGAAATTGTTGCTCTGTGTACACCTGAGACTTATGGTTACACAGAGTTCCAGCCCAGTCCCTGAAATCAGGCCCAGATCTGGATTTGCTTCCTGACTCTGTCAACACCTCTTCCTTGTAATGGGATCTGGAATAAATGACAGGCTCCAACCTTGGTGCTGAAGATCACATTTTAGGAACACTAGGATCAGTTTGCTACAGAAGTGTATGTGTGCTAGTTATGACATTTGGATGTCTGGTTAAAACAAACTATTTCTGCCACTTTTTTGCTAGTGTATATTAATTGCACAAAGGGTCTCATTGTGACACTTCCATGTACACATACAATGCACTTTGATTGAATTCACCCCTTCTATTGGCCTTTGTTACCCCACTCCCCCTTTTAACCAACATTGAGCAGATTTCATGATTCTGTTTTCATACATGCATATAAAGTACTTCATTCATTCTTCTTCTTGACTGAATAGCATGCCATTGTGTATATGTACCACATTTTAGAAAATCCATATGTCAGAAGAGAGGCTACTAGGTTGATTGCATAGCTTGGCTATCATGATTGGTGCTGCCATAAACATGGTGTGTAGGTGTCTTCTTTCAGATATATGCCCACTGGATGGAATCTCAATGTCATTTTTGATTTGCATTTCCCTTATAGCTTAGGATGTTGAACATTTATTCATGAATTTATTGGACATTTGTACTTCTTTTCAGAACTGTCAGTTTAATTAATTTGCCCATTTATTAAATTATTCACTCTTTTGGTGTTTAATTTTCTGGAGTTCTTTATATTTTCTGGTTGTTAATCCTTTATCCGATAAATATTTTCTCCCACTCTGTAGGCTCTCTCTTGGTTTTTGTGATTGTTTCCTTTATCATGCAGAAGCTTTTTAATTTGATGCAAACCCTTTTGTCAATTCTTGCCCTTATTTCCTGAGCTATTGGAGTCCTATTTAGAGTTGTAGCCTATGCTTCTGTCTTCAAGGGTCTTCCCTACTTTTTCTACAGTAGTTTCAAAATTTCAGTCTTGCATGAACATTTTTGATCCATTTTTTGTACAGGGTAAGGTCTAGTTACTCTTCTACATGTAGATATCCAGTTTTCTCAACATTGCTGAAGAAGCTGTCTTCCAAAGTATGTTTTTGGGTTTTTGTTAAAAATCAGATAGCTATAGTTGTGTGGGCTTAATTCTGTTCTATTCCATTGGTCTATGTCTGTTTTTGTGTCAGTACCATGCTGAACAAATCCTATTTCTATAAAGTAAAGGCCAAATACTCAAGTTTGTGTGTTGAAATGACATATAGCTAATATCTGACAAAAGTTATGCCATTTCATATCAAAATTGCAAAGGGAAAGGAATAAGAATGAAGTAAAAGAGTTTGATACATACTATTGTCTGTATATATGTCAAAAAAGAACAAAACATGCTACCTTCTCTCAATATTCAAAGAGGAAAGAGTAACAACTTCACAAAATCTCATTATATAATTCTTTCAAAATGAAAAAAAAATTAATATCCAAATGGGTGAAAACCAAATTATTTATGCTATTGTTTAAGCCTTTAAAATTGTATTCTCCTTAATTGTTCATCATGAATGGATTTCTTTTTTGTTGTTCATTTATTCACATGTGCATACATTGTTTGGGTCATTTCTCCACCCTGTCCCCCTCCCTCATGGATTTCTGTTTCTTATGTAATTTAAGAACAGTGAAGCCACTTACTGGTGCAAAAGTTTTTGATTTTTCTGGTTGGTACACAGTTCACTAGTGGGAGCCTGTTCCCGTTGACTTCACTCTGACAGCACTAGATAAAACCCATGTTTACTCACCAAGGCCATCATCTGTGAGCCTTGCATCTGGCAGACATCTTCCGCAGAGGAAGATGGTTCACTCCAAGTTATTCCAGATTTCAAGGCAGTAGGATTATTTGCTAGTAAATGGGGATGAGATCATTCAGTCTGTATTTAGGAAAGAGATTGTGCGAAGTCAGGGTTGCCCTCTTCATATTTATTTTAATGTTTGGTAATAGAATCTCAGTTTATTTTGATTTTACCATTGTTATTTTGTTGTTTTGCCAATAAAGTGTAGTTGGAGATGTCTGTCTAGATTCCAGATACAGAGTTTTTGTCTCCTTGTGCATAGCAGGATTTTAAATAAAACACATTTCAAATGACTCCCATAAGATCAAATGACTTACAGCACTAAGTCCTGAGATTTAACCAAAAACCAAGTACTATTGGTCTTCAGAGTTTGAAATAAATGGGGCAATCTGTGCTCATCAGTAAAGCTTTCCTGTTCTGAATGGTCTGTGAACATACTGGAGTAAGATGGAATTGTAACTGCATCTACTGAAGTCTTTGTTTGCTGTTTGTTTTTGCCTTGCTTCTGGCTGCATGCCTTCACACTAACTTGGTTCATGTACTTGTCCTAGTTGCTTGTTAGAGGTTCTATGCAAGATCCTGACTAAGTCTCTCTTCATAATTGATTTCCCTCATGTGTAAATCTGCAACTTTCAAGTTCCAAATATTGCACCTGTTCTCCAGAGAACTATTAAGTATATCATCCATTTGTAATTCATATAGCTAACAATATAATACCAATTATGCTTCTTAAGGATATATTTACTTATCCATAAATATGATTAAAATATAAAATATACACTTAATACCTATAGTATGATATGTGAAAGTAGTTGGCTCTGGATGGCCTTGGGTGGCCCTGGGTGGCTCTAGGTGGCCCTGGATGGCCTTCTGGTGTCTGCTGTTTGGATTGATGGATTCATGGAGCTAGTGCATCCTGGTTCCTCCCTAGAGCACTTGTGAGGGAGGAGGTCTGCTCCTGAGTAAGGACGGGGCTTGACTCAGCCCTGTGCTGCTGGGAGGTGAGGTTAATCATGGTGTAAGTTCCATGGAATTCACTGGACCACTCATCTAACCAACATCTTCTCTTTGCTTCATTCCCATCTCTCCTTGTCACTTAGCTCCAATCTAACCAGGGAATGGAGGAGGTCACTTATTGCATGCACCCATTCAAAATACAATATGTTAAAGACCTGGAGAGAAAAGAAAACATGTCTCCCAGGAAGACATCCAGTTTTACTTACATAAAAATCTTCACGTTAGCCAGGTGTGGTTCCTTCCTATAATCCCAGCATTTGGGAGGATAAGGCAGGAGGATTGAGAGTTTGAGGCCAACCTTTGCTGGATAGTGAGTTCCAGACCAATCTGAGCTATATAATGAGAACCTGTCTCAATTCCATCCCCCGCCAAAAAAATCATCATATTATTTCCAGTTCTGTGGTACAGGTTATGACTACTTATGTGGGGGAAACACATGTTATTACTTTGTAGTGTATTATAAATATAACACCTTTTTCTTCCTTAGTGTTACAGAGGGGCAATTATCTGAGGTTATGTTTAGTGGGGCTTGTTCTTGTTTTATTCTGTTACATGTTCTACAGAACAAAGAGTCAGGCTCAATCTGTACGTTATATAAGTCCTAGGAAAAATCTGAAAAGAATTTCAAAATTTTTATAGCATAGCAGCTTAATAGCATTTCATCTGTAATTTTTTCTACATAATCAGAACCACTAATTTCCAGAAGAACTATAAAGTATACCATACATTTAGTTATAACTCATGTAGATAACAATGTATTTATTCTTATTCTTAAGGAAATATTCTTTACTTATTTTATAAATATGGTTAATATAGCTGATCGTTGTTGAGATAACAGGTCGATTTGAAGAACTTTTCTGAACAGATAGCTTTTTCCAGAGTGATAGAACCTAATATTTGAGCTGTGGAGTTTTAAACAGTGTGAAGTAGAAAGAATATCAAGAAGAGAAGGGATTTGGTATTTTTTTGTCCTCAATGGCTGGGAATGTAAGAGAGGAACCTGAGAGTTCCTCGTCTAGAACTGGGAAATTTAATTCCAAGGTCACCAACTCATCCGTAGTAACTCTTGGTCCTGTTCCAGGGTTCTTCCTCTCAGGTGTTAGGAGTCTTCATGTTGCAGATATCAGCATGGTGCTGCCCTTGAAGCAATGCATTAACAAATATTCCTCTTACATTCTTATTGTACTTTTATCTACCTTTATGGAATATAAGGACTGAGACCTGACTTAAATGCTTAGCCTAACACCACCTATTCTCAGAAAACATGTTTGCATAAATTCACAGATATTTCTATGCACTGACATTTTATAATCCTTCTGTTCTCTAGTATTCCCCCTTGGTCTTCATTTTCTTTCTGGAGTAGTCTGTGATTAACCAACTCTTACTGCTTTTGCTTTATAGAATCTGTCTGTCCAACACGAATTCCTGTGGCAGCCCGAGACGAGAAGGGATTTGATATTCTTTTAGGGCTAGGTGTAAATAAGAAAGTTAAGAAAAGAGTCCAGCTTTCACCAACAAAGATAAAAGGATATGAAGTGACATCAAAAGTTGACTTGTCAGAGTTTACGAGGTAAGCCTGATGTGTTGATGAAGCACTGGGTGATGTATCTCTTGAGAGCAGAGATTTCTTCACACTCATCTGTGTTCTTCCCTTTCTAGCAACGTTTTCCCAGAAGGTCTTCCTCCATCGTATGTGTTTGTTTCCACTCAGAGATTTAAGGTCAAGAAAGTGTGGGATTTGTGGAGGATATTAACCATCGATGGAAGGCCACAAATGGCAGTTACCTTAAATGGGGTGGAGAGAACCTTGTCATTTACAACAACCAGTGTAATCAATGGCTCACAAACTGTCACCTTTGCTGACTCTCGAGTTAAGGTAAAGATGGCGGGGTGGTCATCGTTGTGGGGAAGCGCTCAAGGTTGTGGTGTTGGGAGAGAGAGAGAGAGCTATGGTTTTAACATGACTAAGAGATATTGACTTCATATTGTAATGCAGCTCAATATACTTCATTAAGAACTGTCATATTCTTTATTAAAGAATATCAACAGAGGAAGGAAACTTTTGTTGTTATTGTTGTTTCTTTTTTTCTTGTTTTGAGACAGGGTCTCTCCATGTAACTCAGGCTGGCCTGGAACTTGCAATCTTCCTGCCTCTATCTCCTGAGTGTTGGGATTGTAGACATGTGCCACCATGCCCAGCAGGAAAATTATATCTTAATCAGCATGAGCACAAAGGGTGAAGAGAACTGGCACTTTTTGAGTGCCTACAACTAAGTGCCAGGCACAGTTAGTGATAACAGCCATCCAAAGAAGAAGCTATTGACCACATTTTGCAGACAAAGAAACAAATATCCAAGGCTGAGTGCATTTTTAAAGTAACTCAGCTCGTAAATGGTGACTTAGGAATTAAAGTTAAATCTGTTAATTTCAAAGCTAATATTGATATCTTCTGTACAGAAATGTCCTACAGTATATCAATATAAAGACATCTCTGTTAAAACATTAAATACTAGGTGGATGATGGGTGCATAATTTATCTTAATTAGCAGTACATTTATTTCTCAAAAAGGAATATATTTTGATAAAGCAAGCTTTTAAAAGTTTATTTTCTAACTCATTTGTTCACAATAACATAGGCATTTTTGCACAAACTCTCTTTATTTCAAGCACATTAAAATTTAAAAATATTTCTTGCATGCTAACTTCACGAAAGTCAATGTATCAGGTTCTTTAAAAATGAGAATGAATAACACATGCTTCCTATCTCCAAGTAGCTTATTTATAATAAGGTATTCAAGCAATTGGCACCAAATACAATCATAAATTATTAGTGGAGTGAAAAACGGGTTCTGACACAAAATATGGGGAAGTCTTGATAAAGAAGATGGCTTTTGAACTGCGCCGTGGTGAATGTTTAGGATTCTGATAGAGATATAGTCACTGGTTTAGTGTCAGTAGTCCTGTCGGTAGCAAAATGAGAGGTTTTTATTCAGAAAGGGAGCAGTGATAGCCTGGGTGTTGGGAGTATAAGACGCACGGCTGAAGAGACTAACAAGCTATGCACCTAGTTTGCGAGTGGTCTGGAAATGGATACATATTCATTTGAATTTTATTCAGTGCATAATAGGGTTCCATCAAAAGGTCTTGATCATAGGTATGTTATGGTCAAAGCAATCCTCTCCTTGCTTTTCTTCCTTCTTTCCAAACATAGTATTTTCAACTTTATCCTTTAATTATGACAATTCTGGGAATACAGAAAGGAATAAAATGGAACTCCTCTAGCATAACTGTAGTGATGTCTACTGGAGATAGGAAGTATGTCTTGGGGAGGATAGATAAGAGTATGTTTGAAAATAAACTAAATATCTACACTCCTAAATTACAGACGTAAGAGTGGGAATGGAGAAGTGATTTTGAGTCATGTTTAAGGGACACGTGTGATAGTGTTTGCACCTAATCAAGAGACATATTTATAGTACTTGGCATCTGGTGAGTTATTACAGCTCAAGGAAAGAAGCTTGTGCTTGAGAAAAACGATAACATTATCCAAGAGAAATGGGGAGGAGAAGAGTTGGAGTGTAATTCAAACTTTTTAGAAAAATATATACTTTGGTAAGCCGCTTGTGAGATATCCTTACAGAATTATTTCAGGCAGTGGTAGAGCCATAGGGCCCACATGTAGGAGAGGGCTATTACATAGAATGTAGGAATGAATGGGACAGTGAAAGGGCAGGATGAAAAATGTCAAGGACAGACTCATGCAGGGTGCTCTCATTATAGGGTAGGTTGAGGGAGAGGAGCCCTCAGAGTGATGGAGCAACTGGAGAGGGTGAAACAGAGACAATCAAGATGGCTTGAGTCATGGAAGTTAAGTGAGATATCAGGAAGAATGCATGAGTTTGTTAGGTCCAAAGTTGCAGTGAAGAAAAGGATGAGGGATGAGAGAAGACATTATTCAGAGACTAGGATCTTTTTTGTGACTTTGAGGTAGTTGCTTAAGTAAACTTTGGCACAACTACTTTGGGATATGTAATAGGAGCTGAGATAGGGGTTGATAAAAAAATTGGTGGGTAGAATAAGAAGCCCAGCTTGGGTCGGGCGAATTAGTACATAACACACAGAAAATCTGTGTGACTCAGCTTTTCTTAGCAACAGTTTGGAGTAAAGGAGCAGGAAGAAAGAAAGTAGAAAGTTGTTAGGTGCTTACTTATGAATCTTCCATACTTTCTTTCCACAGACATTATTTGATGAAGGCTGGCATCAAATTCGTCTTTTAGTAACAGAGCAAGATGTAACTCTGTTTATTGATGATCAGCAAATAGACAGTAAGCCCTTACATCCAGTACTAGGAATCTTCATCAACGGGCAAACACAAATTGGAAAATATTCTGGGAAAGAAGAAACTGTCCAGGTGGATAAGTAATCATTTCCTCTTTGTGGTGTGCAGAACAAAACTTTTGGTGTTGTTTGTAGTACTGTTACTGCATCAGCTATATTCAGCTTAATTGTGAGTTCTCTTAAGACGTGGTCAGTTCTTTTGTGTCGGTATGTGTGGTGAAAATGCAAAATTGGACTCAATCTATTTTATAAGAACACTTAGAAAAATGTCCTCCAGGGTAGAAGGTAGAATTCTAGGAAATATTAATTTCATATTTCCCAGGAGAAACAGAGTCTAAATAATGAATTTGGAAATGAGAATGTAGTTTGAGCTATAAAATGAAGGCTATAAAAATTTCTTTGCAGCTGTGAGGATAAAATTAGATTAACACATGTCAGGGTTCTTCATGAAAAAAATTGCTACTTAAGAATAAGGTGCTCTTGCTGTGTTCAACTCATACCTAAGAAGGTTTGCTTGACTGTTTTGACATCTTTTTAAATTGGAATACATCTGTATCTGGATTGAGTAGTGGTTTTCTAAAAGCTTTATTTGAAAAGGTATATCCCTCTCGCTCTGTTTCTATCAGGGGAAGACTGTCACGTTCAAGGGTGTGACTCCACATGTGTGAATACTGTTTGTCACATTGCTGTAAATATTTAAATAGTAACAGGTGCTGAGCCTACTCACACAGCAGTCCATCCCAGCAATGAAATCTCTAAACCCCAAATGGCTTCTTGAGCCCACCTGTATGATCAGGAATTTTGTAGAGATTTAGGATAAATGTAGGAAACCTGACAGAACGCTAAAGTGTTCTTGAAAATGCTCTCTAGACTAGCTTCTGCCCCAGGGCTACTAAAACAGCTTCACTGGGTGCCTGAAGGAAATCAGAGATTTGTTCTTGGTGGTAGGAATTTTTTCCTTAAGAAGATCGAGAGGTCCTGAGTTCAAGCCCCAGCATTGCAAATAAATAAGTAAATAAGTAAGTAACTAAATATTTAAAATTAAAATAAATGTGGGAGCTGTTGTTTTTCCTAACTACAAATTGTTAAATAAAATATTTTGGGGTCTCAAAAATGAGTTATGTTACATCTCAAGTCATATATTAGGTATTCACATTTTGTATTGTTGTTGATTTGACTAAGTGCTGTGATCTAAAAGTCCAAAATTACTACTCAGAGTGGCTATTTCTATGTATTTGAGTTGCTCTTTCCTTTTCTTCTTCTCCTTTGTAGTAGTAGGGGTTGTTGAGCTGTTCTTATAAAACAATATCTTGTGCCTCAACTTTACCCCTGCTGGGTTTATGTTCCTAGTTTGATGTCCAAAAGTTGCGAATCTATTGTGACCCAGAACAGAATAACCGGGAGACGGCGTGCGAGATTCCTGGATTTGTAAGTAGGATGGATTGCTTCTCTTACAAGTGCTGCTTTAGGGCTTCAAAGTCATAGATAAAAAGCAGGTAGTACCCAAGTCTTATTGAATATGTAGGGTTGACTTTGTTTTTTGTTGTCAATGAACATAAAGTTACATGGAAGAAAACAGAGTTAGAAGCTCATCACTGGGAAATTCTAACATGCCACTCGTGTGAGTGAGAGCACAGCAAATGCATTCGCTTGCATCATTTCTGGTTGAGATTCTTCCATTCGATCAGGTGGGACAGGACTGGACCTGCTTTGCAAGACAGGATGTTTGTCTGAATATCAGTGTGTGAAGAATAATTATATACTTAATTAAATGTAGGACAGAACCCCCCAACTACACAGTTCTGAGGAATAGGAAATAAGTAATTTTCCTGTTCACCAGTGCATTTTGTTGCTGTTCGCTATGAAAATTTCCTTATATTGTACAAGGAACATTTCCACACATTTACCTATTTTCATTGATGTGTTAGAGCTAAAGTACCGTGGCATAGAACATATTACATATGTGATTACATGTACATGTTTATACACACACATATGCATGTGTATAACTATTCCTTTCCCCTGGGCAAAAAATGGTGTATTGCTTTAATGGAAATAGAGTGGAAAGCTGGAAATCTTTCTGACAATGAGCATTCTTGGTGATTTTGACATGGTTGTTCGTTCTTTTAATTTGAATACTCTTACAATCAGCATTTTTCTTTTCTATCAATCAGAATAACTTCTAAACCCAAGTATTCAGAAGCCTTGAAGACATGGGGCGGCATATTTAAAGTGTCTATGATACGATCAAACATGGGAACTTGTAGAATGGTTTATTCTGGGTTTTCTACATAGGTGGTTGTTTAAACACCGTGGTTTTTATTTTAGATACTTGGAATCTCTCTTAAGAGTATTACAACTCACTGCATTTGAGAGTTCACGAAATATACTTCATTTATTGAGGTCTTTGCATTCACGTATGACTCATAGGATAAATCACATCTTTAGACTCCAGATTTTGAATTCTCACATCCATTTTTATTTTCCTGCTTCTTTCTGAATTCTCTACTATGACTTCATGTGGCTTCTACCTTTTGTACTTTTTCTCCCACCTACTAATTTTCTGATCTAATGTATTATTGTTTGGAAAGATTATCTTAACCTATTTAGAAGTATGTGCTATCCAGTAAGAAATTGAGATGCTCACTTAAAGTAAAATGCATAAAATTTTATTGCACACAGTTTGTGACTTCCTAAGGATGTTTTGGCCTCTTTTTTTCTAGTTCTTAAACAATTTCTAGATGGTTGAACACACCATATAAATCTCACCTGGAGGTATTTTATTCTTGGATGGCTACTGTATCAAGTAGCCTTGGTGTTTGGATTTTTGCCTTCCACTCTTCACCACTCTTGTTTTCTTTCCTTTATCATTTACAAATGTAAATGTTGGATAAATCATTTTTAGAATAAGCAGAAGCAAATGCTTTAGCTCTTACTGGATTTGATGCTTCTTGAATCTCTCATCTGGACAAGGAAGTATCTATAAATTAGGAGGATTAGGAAGATTGAAAGTGTAATTCAAAACATATTTTAAAACACATGTGTTGAAATGACCCAAACATTGTATGCACATATGAATAAAAGAAATTTAAAAAAAAAAAGCAAGCCAGACATAGTGAATCATACCTGCAATAACAGCTTTGTGGGAGGTATCTTTAGGAAGATTGTGGTCTAAGTGTGGCTAGGATGAAAAAGTATGGGACAAAAAACCAAAACAAAACAAAAAAACCCAAAAAACCCACATGTGTTGTTTTTCTTTCAGAATGGAGAGGTAGGCATGTACACAATGGATATTTTTCTTGAGGTAATGTTTCCTTGTGGGACCATTTAGCTTCCTCTCATCAGCTGTAAGTATGTTGGACAAATGGAACCCATTGTATGCGTTTGCATGTTGTTAGTATTCATAGATTTTGTGATATTTAATTTCTTAGCAGTTTATGCTAAATATAACTAGATAGTTACCATAAAGCAGCTTTACCATTTCATACATAGAGATACACATGTTTGTGTATGCCTTCAGGTTTCTACTTTTATTTTCATCTTTTCCAGTGCCTTAATGGTCCCAGTGACATAGGTTCAACTTCAGCTCCCTGCATTTGTCCTCCAGGAAAACCAGGATCCCAAGGCCCCAAAGTGAGTAACACCGAAGATGACAGTTTTGCTTCATCACATAAATAAGTACTGATCCAATGCACAAAATTCCTAATCACGACTGACCTGTTGTGAAATCACTAATGCTGACTAATCAGGTCTTAAGCTACCTGAGTTTAGTGATTTTTTTTCTTAAAAAGCTATTTTAATTTGAAACTTTTTGAAAGCAAAAAAAGACACCACTAACACACATTAAAGTGAAACTATTCGTTGTTTCTTTTATTCCAATTTTGCCATTAGAGCCCAAGAATGATTCTTCCTTGCAACCTGGCCAAAAAAAAAAAAATGGAGAGAGAACATTTGCTAATATGTCCTAAATTCTTAAATGTCCAATTTGTCAAAATCATTTTCAGGTAGAAAAATGAAGTAAAAAAAATTTAACTTGATTGTGAGTTTAATGTCTAATTCTAAGAAGGGGCATAAATGTTTATTTCACTTAGAATCATATAAAGATTTGGGGGGAGTTTACACATGTGTTCCAGTTGAATTTTTTATATCTGTATGTATAGATTCATTTTTATATGGTTGGAAAGATGGTAACAAGTGATTTTTTCTATAACATGTTTAGAATACATCGCTGTTATTACATATGAATGACTAAGTTATTAAGTAAGTTGATGTTTCTTGCAGTTTCACTTAGAATAAGATAACTGAGTACTAGTTTGTCTGATAGGTAAATTGTGCTCATTTAATATTACTTTAAAATATCACCTATGTGAAAATAATTTCTAACTTGAAAGCAGCTATAATTCCCTTGTCACAAAGATGTTGTTTATGTGTACTCACCCCTCTTACTTGATGTGACAAAACTAATTTTGGTTAAATATGAGTTATATGGTTCAGTTGGAGTGAATTTTCTGATTAGTGTTTTAATTACAATGACTGAAAAAGTTTTAGTTTTTAAACATCTGGTATGAGGTAATTAGATCTTCCTGTCTTTTGTGCATACTTTCATGCCTATCTGTGGAACTCAAGAAACAAGTGCATTTTAAGAAATGAAGGTATACATTCAAAATCCCATTCCAAGGAAATCTCTGTTTGGCTTGGAATTTGACTGTCATGCCTTATAATCCATTTGTTACTGTAACTACTTTTAGATTGCAAGTATTCTTTAGTCAAAGTAACCACGTATTATTTAGGATGCCTGCCATAAAGGAGAAACGCCTGTAAGATGCTTCTGAGGGAAGAAACCTTGTAGGACAGATGGACATGCCCCACAGACAAAGTCTTTGTTAAAAGTGTTTACACAGCTTACTCAAATTTGCCTATCACACATAACATGACTTGGGAGTCACGGGCCAGGTGTTTGGCCCCTCAGTGGGGTTTTGCTCATCTCCAGGGTGCTGTCCTGACTCTCAGGACAGTGAGGTCACACATCTGTGGCCTCCACTGGAGGCCCTAAAAGCCTCTGATATTTTCTGATTCTTCATTGTTAATCCAATAGATGTCTTGTAGTATCCCCTGTTTTTAGTCATGTGTTTCCATAGAAGATCTTTAGCACCCCCATTGTCTTCTCTGGCAAAGCCTCTAAGTTCCAATTTCATCTGTTTCTCATTTCATTCTCCTTTCTTAGTCATGACCCAGCCCCATTGCCACCTACTACTTTAAGTGAAATTGCAGTTTCCACCAGTCTTCAGGTTGGCTGCCTTCCTGATTGGCTTTCCATTTTCTTCAGCACCTCTGGCACAAGGACAGGAACACACACACTCTTCCATGCTTTTAGGGCTCTTTCCTCTGGAGGTAGTTCCTTACCCAGGTCAGGGACCTGTATGTGAAAAGCAGAATCTTTAACAGTGTCTGAGTCATATTTCTTTTAGAGAATGTCTGGCTTTTGCAATTGATGGGGTTATTATTATTATTATTAATTATTGAATAGGAACCAAACTAAAATAGATGAGGTGATTTTTACTTCACAGAAAGCTATTGTCCATTTTTGTTGGATGCTTTCTGGAAAGTTGTGCAGCTGTTCATAAAACAGAATCACCTGTGCAGACCAGAGCCAGCCTGTTAGTCAGAGATAGCATTCTGGCAGCTGACTGTTGCATTGTGAGGTTGTAACAGAAGACAAAGCCTTGGGGAGACAGGAGGGTAAGCCCTTATTCTAAGATGAGGAAAGTCGTCTGTCTAAGGTTCTTTAAGTTTCTGATAAATATGACAGCCCTGTTGCAAAACTGGGTGGCATCCAGCGTGGCACCCCACACTGAAAATTGTCGTGGCATTGCAACTTTCCCACAAGCTTTGAGCCTTTGGACTGTGAGCCCTTGAAGAATGGTTCATGCATTTTCATCCCTAATTCCAAATGTAAGGAATGACTAAATTAATGGAATTATTAATTTATCATTGGGGTATTCTTACATGCAAAAATGTCTTTGTTCACAATGAAAGTTAATACAAAGGATATAATAATTTTTATAGAAAAAGTAAGATCCACTCCTTCCCCCAGTTGGCCTATATGAGATGTCTCTGATGAGGGAATTACCAGTTGCAAGAAGCTCCCTTTCAATTGACCCTCCATGCAAATGATGGCTTCTCCCACTTCACTAGTCACAGACTTTGTAGGACAACCCACCATATTTGAGCTGACCGTAAATAAATATGAAATCAGTGAGTTCAGAAGAAGAGGAAAGCATTCTCCTTTCTTTTTTTTAGTTTGGAGCAATTTTGATAACCTCTTTGTTCTGAAATACCAACTTCTAGACATCCATATTCCTGTTGTTGCTTTTGCTATACCCTAATCTTTTTTTCTTTTTTTTATCATTTGGAGATTCATTTGGAATATAAAGTACAAAATCTTTTGGAAACTTTCAGGGGTCATTGGATTGCAACATTTGAATTCTAATTTTTACAGACTGAGTGAATTTCTTCTAGCTTGAAGAATGGGTTTGTGGTATGAGGAGGGAAATGGTTGATTTGAGTGAATTAAAAATTGTCTAAGGTGAGCTATTCCTGTGGAGGCCGAGGAATAGCAAGAAAGTGAACAGATTTTAGAGAAAGGGGCTTGAAAATAGGGTACTTGGGATTAGGTGAAGCAGTCCAAGACATCTGCTTTAGATGGACAATTAAAAATTCTAGCTGTGCCTTGCTTGGCTCATACTTGGTCTGCGTGAGAAACCATCTTCAGAGATGTTTCAGCTTAGTCCATGAAATTTCCATTCCTGTCAACAACTTAAAAATCCCGTGGCACCAATTCAATTCAACATAAATATGTATTGCTTTCAAGCTGAGTACATATTTTTAAAATTCAGAATGTGCAATTGTTTCAATGAAATTAGAATGAAACAGATTGGGAATTTAGTCACAGTTGTATAAATAATAAGTCTTTTGACTAATTTAATGTATCTGGAATTTTTTCATGTTGGATTTTTTTTAGCAGTCCCTAAATGTGGTTCTAGTCAGCATATGCATTTTAACATGGCAGGAATAACAGTGTTTAGGTTTGTGTATTCTGAAGTTGACCTGGCTGGGTCTGAATCCATCTCCACCGCTGCCATGTGACCTTGAGCAGTTTTTCTCATCTTTCTGGGCCTTTGTTTTCCTGTATAGAAAATAGGATGAAAGTAGCACCTTAAAGGGTTATGCTGAAGACTGAGTAATTTAACATAGACAAGTCTCTAACACAGTGCTTAGCATACTATAAACAATAAAGAACTATCGGATATTGGTTTTAATAGTAATAAAATTGAACTTGCATTTTAACTCTCCAATTGCTAAAGTAGTCTGGGCTTTTCTTTACTCTTACAACTTTATGGAAACAGCCCTAAACTTACCTGAGATTTTGGAAATAGTCCAAGAAGAACAATAGTTAAAATAACCCCCACCTCCCAAAAAGAAAAAAATCATCAACAACAGAAGCTATGAAAGAGGTTATTTTCCCTCTTGGGGCTGTCAGCTAGTATTAGGTCTTTATGAACTCACAATGGGTTTATCTTCAGGGTGAGTTTTTTTTCTTGAGAGCTTAGTTTTCGTTAATTTACAACATTAACCACTGAGGATGTTTTGTACTTTTATGCAGCATAAAAACACATGAGTGCCTTTTTCTTCTTGTGCCAAAACTTTATTTAAGCATCATTACAGTAAAGATTAAACTTTCTCAGATCCCTTTGATGTCTTAGATTTTGCTGATGTCAATATTCTGCAAGTAATTGACAGACTTGATTTTAAATAACTCAGCTGGAAAGTAGCTATTAAATCTACTTGATAGCCAGCTCTGTGTCCCCCTCTCCCTCTAAAAAAAGAGAAAATAAGCACCTTTTTAAAAAAAGGAGCATCAATCCAAATGATAAGTGAAATTTACTGGGGAAAAATTTGAGAATATCTGGTTGTAAAAGTGACACAGCAACTGCTATAATATTTTAATAAAAGGCACCAGAAGAAACCGAGCTACAAGGAAGTGATAGAGAATTTTGCCATGTTGATACCTTAGTGGAAGAGAGGACAAGTTTTTCCCTGGGAGAAAGAAAAGATGGAATTTGTTGAAAGACAGGAAGTCCAGATGGACAAGGGAGGATGATAGGGAGACTGGAGACTAGTGTGAACTCCCTCCAAATGGAACACAGAATGCTCAATCCTAAAATCTGTGGAGTTCTCCCTAACTGCCAGCCAGAAGTGCAAATTCCTGGATGAGAATTACAAATCACAGCTCTTTATCTCTTTAAAAAGTGGCATTTCCCTTCTTCTCAGGCTTTCCTCTTGCTAAGCCTCTTGTGAGACAACTGGTAAGTGAAGAGCCCATCCTTACTTTATTGGTTCCTGAATTGTGTTCACAGAGTTCTTTCCATTTTCCCTGTTATGGTTCAGGAACACATCTCCCTAGCTAGGAGTCTGAAATAATTATCATACCAGTAAATTTGGCTCTGTTGAAAGTACTCTTAATCACTGAAATCCTGTGATTTTTCTTGATAAAAATAATGAATTATTGAATGGCCCAGTTGCAGTGACTCACGCTTATAATCCCAGCTCCTTGGGAGAGAATCGAGGTTTGAGGCTATCCTAGACAAAGAGTTAGTGAGATTAGTGAGACCCTGTCTCAACAAACAAGCCTGGTGTGGTGGTGGTACAGACTGTGATCCCAGCTGCTCAGGAGGCTTTAGGTGGAAGGAGTTTGGAGGCCAGCCTGGAGCAAAAATATGAGATCCTACCTGAAAAATAACCAAAGGAAAAAGGCCTGGGGGTGTGGCTCAAGTGATAGAGTGCTTGCCTACAAAGGGAGGGTCCCTGAGTTCAAACCCCAGTACCACCAAAACAAAAACAAAAACAAAAGCTGTTGAATGAAACCAGTTGCCTCTCTGTAGCTCACTGATACTGATGGGGAGACTTCCTATTTTCCAACAAAATATCCCTTGTAGACTCATCCACTTGGGGGTAGGTGAATATGGTAGCAGGTTTTGAAGCATTCCTTAGAATTAAGTTATAAAACACCATCACCTCACAGAAAATGTTGCCATGCTGCCTTTCTTCGTGAACTATGACCCTCTAAACATCAGTATCAAGGGAACCCAGTAGAACTCTGTCGAATGTACCTGTTCTCATTTTCACATAGCATGGGATAGTGTTCTTTGAAGGTCTCAGGTATATGAGGACAAAGATAATCTCTTAATTTCTTATGTATTACACACACTGAGAGACTACGGTGCTTGGGAGAGAGCTGTCTGGCTTGGGCTTCATTCTCACAAATTCAAATTTTGGAATTTTAACACCATGCTAAAGTTTGATAGAGGCAGAGTGACACCTTGACAGGAATGAAAGGGATAATTGTCACGTCACCCTAAACTCACATCTCATGTGTAGGAAACATGATCTGCAGACTGCTTTTTATTTATTTATTTATTTTTTGTTTTTTTTTTTTTCTTTTTCTTTTATTATTCACATGTGCATACAAGGCTTGGTTCATTCATTTCTTCCCCCTGCCCCCGCCCCCTCCCTTACCACCCACTCCGCTCCCTCCCTCTCCCCCACCCCCTCAATACCCAGCAGAAACTATTTTGCCCTTATTTCTAATTTTGTTGTAGAGAGAGTATAAGCTATAATAGGAAGAACAAGGGATTTTGCTGGTTGAGATAAGGATAGCTATATAGGGCATTGACTCACATTGATTTCCTGTGCGTGTGTTACCTTCTAGGTTAATTCTTTTTGATCTCACCTTTTCTCTAGTTCCTGGTCCCCTTTTCCTATTGGCCTCAGTAGCTTTTAAGGTATCTGCTTTAGTTTCTCTGCGTTAAGGGCAATAAATGCTAGCTAATTTTTTAGGTGTCTTACCTATCCTCACCCCTCCTTGTGTGCTCTCGCTTTTATCATGTGCTCAAAGTCCAATCCCATTGTTGTGTTTGCCCTTGATCTAATGTCTGCATATGAGGGAGAACTTATGATTTTTGGTCTTTTGGGCCAGGCTAACCTCACTCAGAATGATGTTCTCCAATTCCATCCATTTACCAGCAAATGATAGCATTTCGTTCTTCTTCATGGTTGCATAAAATTTAAAATAAGCAGTAATTTTATGAGTTGGATTATTACATTATATACCCTTGATTTCTATGGTATAGCACTAAGAGGAGAATCAGATCTGTAGACTCATGAGTCACATAGGGGATCCATATTTGCTGTGGCATGTCACAGTTTGTTCAAAATTCCAAAATTGTTCCCTGTCCTACAGACTGATATTTTGTACCAGTGGAAAAACTTGCTTCTTATACTAGTGTGCTCACAGAAATAAATCATTGTTTATTTAAAAAAATCTTATTTATTAGGGTAGGCATTTAAAATATGCTACAATTTTCCTACTTTTTTTTTGGTGGTACTAGGGTTTGAACCCAGCGCCTTGCATTTGCTGGACAAGTGTTTGATGATGTGAGCCACACCTCCTGCCTTTTTTGCTTTAGCTTATTTTTCAGATAGAGTCTCATAACTTTTTTGCCCAGGGCTGGCCTTGCATGAGGATCCTCCTAGTTATACCTCCCATATCGCTGGATAATAGATGAGAGCTTGTTTGTTGAAATGGGAGTCATGTGAAATTTTTGCCCAGTCTGGCCTTTAACCTCAATCCACCTGATCTGTGCCTCATGAATAGCTGGGATTACAGACATGAGCCATGCCTGGCCCATTTTCATTAAGTTCATTTTGGGACTTCTGTTTGTTTCATATCCTCTCTCTCTCTCTCTCTCTCTCTCTCTCTCTCTCTCTCTCTCTCTCTCTGTGTATGTGTGTGCTTACTATACAGAAAATCTTAGGCTAGGGGCATGGCTTTGGTGGTAGACTGCTTACCTAGAAAGTATGAACCCTGAGTTCAAACCCCAGTATTATTAGGAAAAAAATGCCTCAAAGAAGGGAATTGGCTTTGAACCTTGAGGGCTCTCCCCGCACAATGTGGCTGGCTGTTTTGTATTGAGAAACTCTTTCTTTCCTGTCTAGGGTGATCCTGGACAGCCTGGGAGCCCTGGCTACCCTGGACAACCTGGTCAAGATGGTAAGCCTGTGAGTACTGAAAGCTTAGTCATCTCCAGTAGTGGGATTATAGCATTAATGTAGAAATTTCATGGTTAACCAGTAAAGACAACTTTATTCAAGGCTACTGCCCCAGGGGAGGGACATTGAAATCAACCCTGCTGAAACCAGGGGAGGAGGAGGTTTTGGACCTGGAGTAAGCCAGTGGAAAAGTACTGGAGGATTTAGCTGGAAGGTTGATCAGGAGGGTGGAGCACACTGAGTTATTCCTTGGTTTGCAAGTGGTTTCCCTCTGTAGGAGGCCAGCTGTGTTTGTTTAGTCAAAGTTAGGCCCCAGCCTTTCCATGGAGACTTGAAAAGAGAGACGCTGTCTTCCTTGATGACTGCATTTCAAAGGGAAGTCCTCCATGGGTCCTGGGGCTGGTGGAGTGGCTCCAGTGGTAGAGCACCTGCTTAGCAAACCTGAGGCCCTGAGTTCAAACCCTAGTACCTCAAAAATAAAAGACGTTCCTGGATTATAAAACTGGCAAGAAGGTAAAGAGATTTACATCTTAAAGAGATAAAGAGCTCACAAGTCTTTAAAAGTACATCCTAAGGAGAGGAGTCAGGTGGAGTGGAGAGGATGTTGCCTGACTTTAGTGGAGCCCGGGCAGAACGTTAAGACCCAGCTTGTCAACAGAATGAGTACTCTAGAGACTTAGTTATCTCCTTCAAAACTGCATGTATCTGTTACCATGAAAAAAATGACCAGTGAGTCTCAATGATATCAGTGACGGTGTTTAAAAATCATTTTTGCCCTTTCCCTGCACGTGTAGGAAGTTTTCAACCTAAAAATCTTTTCAAAGGTGATGTTGTTTTTCTAAGAATGTCTACACTGGAAGACATAATCTGACTAAAAATATCATCCTCTGAGGGTCAAGAGAGCATTAGGGGTATTTAATGGGAATATTAATCAATTTTGAAGCATTTTAGGCAAATATTTCCAGGCAAGTCACCTGGAAGCATGTTTATAAGAATGATTAAATATCAAGAATTAGCTTTTGAGTGATTCCCTAGCCCTGGGTTCAATCCCCAGCACTGAAAATAAAATTAGCTTTTGAATGTTAAGGCATGACTGTCATGGAGAAACATGACTCCTAAGAGACTTACTGAAAACGATCATGGTACACTACCATGGGAAGGCTGTGCTGTGCGTGAGTCTATGATCTTCAAAGATGAAAGAACCACAGATCTCACTTCAGATCGCCCATAACCCAACTTCCAAGATGGAAGAGTTGCTTCCATCCTCAAGAGAGGGTAGCTAATAAAGTCAACATGAAAACAATACAGAAAACTAATCAGGTTTTACAGAAGTGATAATACCCCAGGATTTTTTACCCAGTGCTGCATAGGAAGGTGTTAGATAAGCAGGTGAGCCTGTCTAGAGAGAAATTATGCAGAAGGAAGGTGGAAGAGGTAAAAAAAAAAAAGGGGCAGCAAGAGACCTGTAGAAAGCCATTGGGAGGTGCTGGCCTGCTGACCACTGGTGTTCCTTCTGAGTGTGAGGTGATCCAAGCAGAGCTTTTAAGAAAGGAAGTGACTAGATTTGGTGTATGATTTTGAAGGATAAATACAGGGGCAAGAGTGGGAGAAGGGAGACCATGTAGGAGGTTATTTCATAATCTGAAGTGAGAAGATAGACAATCTTGGACTATGGGATATGGAGGAAGTGTTCAGATCCTGGGTTACTCTCTAATATTAAGTTGACAATTGCCAACAAATTTACATGTGGGGTGTGAAATACAGTGAGGGGGTTTTACCTTGAAAACCTGGGTGAACAGAGGTACCATGACTGCATTGTGGGAGATCTAAGTCTTCTGGGAAATTGAGAATGCATTTTAGAGAAGAGTGGTGTTCAGCTGGGACCCACCATGTAGATGTACCAAAAGCCATGAGAATGGATGAAATACAGACAGAGAAGAGAGGGGAGGAGTGGGCTGAGCTGTGAGATCTCTTAGAGGAAAAAGACAAAGAGGATCCAGTCAAGGATGTTGGGAAGGACCGATGAGTGAGGTAGGAGGAAAACCAGGAGACTCTGACATCCCACATGAAGCAAGCATTTTAAGAAGGGAGTGAGCAGTTGTGTCATTGTTGTCAAGAAGGCAAGAAAAATGAGTTACGACTGGACTATTAAATTTGCCATATGGAGAATATGATTTCAGAGAAAGTTTGTAAAAGCTGGGCTGAAGGGGGATGGAGGGAGAAAGGAGGTAAAATGATGATGGTCCGTATAGATGTTGCTTCTAAGGATCTAAAGGGAAACAGAGAAATGGAGCAGTAGAGTGGGGGTAATATGGGGAAATGTGGGGTTTTAAAACATAGGAGCTATTGTAACATAGTTCTGTGGTGATGAAAATGAGGTAAACGGAGAATGGATGACTTGGGGACATGGTGGATATTCTCAGGAAGAAAATACATGTGTAGGTGGGAGGGCATCAGTTCAATCCAAAAGGAGAGTTTGGCCTGGTTAAAAGTATGAACCCTTAAACCTTCACAGCAGATAGAGGGCCAAGCCCATAGGTACAGAAATAGCGAGGGGGTGATTTGGGGGGAAGAGGTTGAGAAGATTATCATCATACTGCTTGTGTTTGAATTGAGTTGAGTGAATAGATTCCAGACCTAATATCTCCCTTTTTGTGTTTATCTTCATCCTCCACTATAAGTCAACACCTGCCTTGTGATTGCCTTTATAACCTCTTGCTTTCTCATGGGAGCCTAGGCTCTCACAGAACTTCTGGCATTTTCTCACTGCCAATTCCCAATTCCGTTAAGATGCTTCTGTGTGAACTCTCCCCTCTAATCCACTGGGTAGATGATTTTATGTAGATGTGAACCCTTCTGCATGGAGACCCCTTTCCCATGTGCTGTTTTTTCTGTGATTGGCAGCTGAAGTGACATGCAAACTCCAAAGCAGATGCACTTTACAGACTTATGTGTCACTTCCTGACACACCTGACAGTACTTCCGAATTGTTCAGGTTTGTTTCAGTGATTTAAAAAAAGAAAATCCTGGACACTGTTTTGAGGTGAGGACTGTCATCCTTCCATAAGCTATCAGACCTCAACTTGCTTCTTAATATGTATGTCTTTCTATGAACCATGAATGAAGTGTTGGAAATCGATATAAATAACCTAATATAATAACCTATCTAATCTGTGCTCTGACTTAAATCCTAATAGATTTATTGCCTCATCTAATTTAGTACAAGTATATGTTTTTATGTTTGCATACATAATTTTAATGTTATAGTTATGCAGTGTGTGACAGGAATGTCACAGAAAGGAGGCAACAGCTGCGGTGGGCAGAATCATGGTCCCCCCAATGTCCAGGTCCATGTCCAAACCCATGAGTATGTTATCGTACGGGTGAAGGGACATTGCAGATAGGATTAATTGTGAGGCTCTTCAGATTTGGGGTTATCTGGATGACCCAGTGGGGCTGTGTAAGTGGGAGGGAGTGTCATAGTCGGGGATTTTCTGTGAGGATGGGAGCAGAGATCATAGTGAGGAAGCCATGAGCCAAGGGATAGAAAGCAGCCCCCAGAAGCTGGAAAGGGAAGGAATGGATGCCTGAAGGAGTCTAACCCTGCTGACACCTGGCTGTGAGCTCCTGAGGAACCACACTGGATTCCTGACCTCCAGAAGTGTAAGGTAATAACTATGTGTGTCTGAGGTGATTTGTTACAGCAATGATAAGAAAGTGAGACACCAAACAAAACCATGTTTCCCCCAAACTGTGACTTTTTCTTAAGGCCCCTGCTTTTCCCTCTGCAGGAGATGTGGTTGGGTGGCCAAGCAGGAATGGAAAGGGAGCCTGGAGCCAGAGCAGCTGAGGGTCATTAGTGTGCATCCAGGGCCAGCACCCAGCGGGAGTGGGAAGGTGTGGGTGGAGCCTCTGGCTGGCTCTTGCAGCCATCTGGACCAAGGAAACTTGGATGGAACAGTTTGCAGGGAATTCTGCTTTGTTTGGATTTGGTTCTGTGTGATCCCCTTCAATAAGCAATCTGAATCTCTTTCACACATTACAGCCAGGCCAAGTCAAGTGAAGCTTTAAATAGTAAATTATTCCACTCTGGAGAAAGACTAATTTTCATAAGAAAGTGCCTTCTACTAGAATTAGACAGCTATTTCAAAACACATCATCCCAATAACTTCTATCACTACAGTGTCTGAGCACATTATTCTTTTACTTTCTATCACTGTACAAGAGAGGTAAGGGGAATTATGTAATCACCAAGATAACTGAGAGTGGTCCAGTAAGGCATTGTACCTAGGTGACATTGATTTGTTAAAGCAGACTTATGTGGAAACAAGTCAGACTAGTTTAGGGTTTGGAGCACTTACAGTGCTCATTTCTGTTTTTTGTCATTACTAATTTCACTTCATGAAGTAAAGCACTTTACTAAAACCAAAGCCCTCATTGGTCACTGGGCAGATTTGGGGCTTAGCAATGTTGCTTTTTTTTTTTTTTTAATAAACTTCCATTTCTTCATCTGGAAAATGAGAAGATGGTGCCAGAGGAGGTCCAGGTTCTCTCCAGTCTGATTTTCTAAGGTTCCACAAAGACCATCATATTTTTGAGAGAGAATGGCAAGAGACTAAACCGTAGAATTCTGGGTGCAATTTTCCACATCAGTGGCCTCAGGAAGTAAGTTGGGGAGATTGACAGCACACTGCTGCCAGTGGACAACTCAAGGGGTTGGTCGAGTGGTGCTCACTGTCCAGTGCTCTCCTTAGCCTGCCGTCTTCAGTGTACCACTCATTGGGCTACAGATACCAAAAGGAGAAATAAATCTTACAGAGATGGTAGTCTGTACAGATGGGGAATGCAAAGTACCATGACTTATGGAAGAGCAAAATGTGGGTAGGAGAAGTTCAGTAGGAAATGAATTTGTATGGGTAGGATGAGAAGGGAGGGAGGGAGAGAAGATGACATAGAGCTTTTTAGGTCACTGTGATGACTTTGGTTTTCAGGTACAATAAGCTCTGGAG